GAATAAAATTTTAATTTAATGATCGAGTTTTAAAAATATTAATTAAAAAATAAAATTTTAAACATATCCTTTAAAATAATTTTAAAAAATAATTTATACAACACTTTTATTACTATTTATTTTAAAAGATTAGTGCATATTAATTCTGATTTTCAAAAGTAATTGAAATTTTAACTTTTAACTGAAAACTAAAATCTTATCATATTAAATATTGATACCTAAATTTGAAAATCCATCATGTATTCTAATATATCAATATTTAATAAGATAATTTTTTAAATTTTAAATTAAATTTTAATTGAATAAAATAAAATAATTTAAAATCAAAACTTTAATTATTTTTAAAAATTAAAATTAATATGTATTTTTTTTCTTATTTTACTAGGCAAGGTCTAAAATTATAAAATTTTTTTGAAAAAGGCGTGCCTTCCCCATCGCCAAAGTAGGTCCGCCCTAATGGCCATGATTCTCGGATGTTTTAGCTTATTTAATATCTGGGATGACCATTGGCGGGATAGAGAATGCTGATTGAAATTCTGTATTCCCTCCAAAGCCAGGCATAATAATTGGAAAAGCAGTGCTACGGGCACTCGCCTCCTGCACTCTCCGGCCAGCACTTCCACTTTCATTGGGCCACGTAAGCTTACTTTAGGGTTTTTAACGCAAACTCTTAAATGAAAATAACGAATAAAAATGGAAGTGAACCAACGAGAGATTGGATCAAGTGGTAAGCGGTTTGTTCTAATTTAAGTAAGGTTTTGAGTTCGAGACTTTATGAATGCAGTAGCCCTCGTTAGGAAACTCACTCACTATTTCTAGGTGCGCGACGCGGGTCGAGTTTGGATTAATCGGGACGAAGTCTCGGATACCAAGCGAGAAACCAAAAAATATAAAAATAAAAGTGTTGGTCGGAGAGTGCCCCTAGCACTGTCCTAATTGGAAATGTCTCGTAGCTACGAACGCGCAATCAGACATTTCCTCAAACTTTCAAAGTCAAAATATTCTTTGTCTTTGCCGCGTAATGCCGGTGTACCACGTGTCTTTTGTCAGAGATTTCGTTAACAAATTTAACACTAGTGGAGTGAAAAGACTAATAAATGAGACTAAGTTTGAAATGTAGGATCAATGAGATGATATAAATTTCCACTAACCAAATGAAAAAACTTAATAAAATAATAATAATAAATGAAATTGAGTTTGAAATGTAGGATCAATGAGATGACATAA